ACAAAAATAATAATAATAATAAAAATTTGGGTGTTACAAATCCCATGTTTATTGGCCATCTGTTGCATTCTATTTTGAGCTCTTTTCAAAAAATTTTTTAAAACCTTCAATATTTCCTCCCTCTTAGTAAGACTTCTATTCAACAGTTCCACATTAGATTCTCCTGGCAAATAGGGTAATGAAGCTGAAGGTGGTTGGCCACAAACAATTTCGTAGGGTGTAGCATTGATTGTTGTATGAAAAGTGGTGTTATACCACCATTCAACTAATGGTATCCACTTAGGCCATAGTTTTGGAGTATCTGAACACATACACCTCAGATAAGTTTCCAAACATCTGTTGACAACTTCTGTTTGTCCATCTGTTTGTGGATGGTAAGCACTTTAAAGCTTTTATTGAATTCCTTGACAAGCCATTAACTCTTGCCAAAATTTACTGAGAAAGATAGGATCCCTATCACTGACAATTGACTTGGGAATCCCATGTAATATGAAAACTGTATCCATGAAAGCTTGAGCTACAATGCAAACAGTATATGGATGAGTAAGGGTCATCAAGTGTGCAACTTTACTCAACTGATCGACCACCACAAAAAATGCATTGTTTTCCCTGAGATATAGGTAAACCTTCAATAAAATCCATAAAAATATGTTGCCATACATGTCCATGGATTGGTAATGGCTGTAATAACCCTGGATAAGTAGTGGTTTCATATTTATTTTGTTGACAAATGTTACATTTTTTCACAAATTCATGTACATCTTTTGTCATTCCCTTATGATGTTTATGGTTGTTGGCATCAACTTGTAATTGAGAAATCAATTTTGGCACATCAGGATTTGATTGACAAGATTGTAAAATTCTAGCTTACAAATTAGATTGTAAGCTTGTGACAATTAATGCTTGGCAATCAATATATTCCATTCTCGATAATGCGTCAACAACTACATTCTTCTTTCCTTCTCTGAATTCTATAGGGAAATCAAACTCCACGAATTTAACTAGCCATTTTTGCTGGAATGTTGTGGATAATCTTTGATCTAATATATATTTGAGGCTTCTATGATCATTTTTTTTATCACAAAATGTCTATTGAGCAAGTAATGCCTCCATTTTTGTACAACAAATACCACTGCCATCAATTCTTTCTCATAGGTCGATAAAGATTGCTGGTGTTTATTTAGGATCCTGCTGATAAAGGCTAAAGAATGATGATCTTGGATTAACACAACACCAATGCCATACCTTGAAGCACCCACCTCAACTATGAATGTTTTGTTGAAATCTAGAAGAGCTAAAACAAGTGCAGTCATTAATCCTGTCTTTAACTGTTGAAAAGACTCTTTTGCCTTGTCAGTCCAAACAAAATTATCCTTCTTTAGCATGTCAGTGAAGGGTCTTGTTATAGTCCCATACCATCTCACAAATCTTCTATGGTACCCGGTAAAACCAAGAAAACCTCTCATAACACAACACTTTCTGAGTATTCCACCTTTTCCGCCTCGAAATAACATTTTGATTTCTTGGACAACAATTTATTCTCCCTCATAACACAACACTTTCTCTAAATGCTATAAATGGTCAACTTCATTGGTGTTATAAACCAAGATATCATAAAAAAAAGGAATTTTCTAAGAAACTTATTGAAAACAACATTCATTAGACTTTGGAAGGTTACCGGTGCATTTGTAAGTCCAAATGGCATAACTACATACTCATAATGGCCACTATGAGTCTTGAATACAGTTTTATGAACATTTGTTGGATCCATTCTAACTTGATGATAGTCTGACCTTAGATCAATTTTAGAGAAGAAAATACCACCATTTAATTCATCTATGATATCCTCTACCAAGGGAATAGGAAATCTGTCCTTCACCGTTCCTTTATTCAACTCCCTATAATCCACACAAAGCCGCCATGACCCATCTTTTTTTTTTTTTTTCCAACAAGCGCAACAGGACTTGCATAAGGGCCGCAACTACTCTAAAACCAGAATTTAGCATGTCCTGTACCAGTTTGCCAATAATGTCTTTTTGATTGCCAACATATCTATAAGGTCTCTTATTGACTGGATTTACACCCTGTAGCAATGGAATTTTGTGATTAAACCCTTCTCTCTTAGAAGGTAACTAAGTAGGCTCCTCGAACGCATCCTCAAACTTAGCTAATAAGGCAGGAATTGTTGTAGAAGTGGCTGTCTGTTGAGCGTGAGTAGTTAAACTCTACAGAAAAGGTCTTTCATCTTGATAAACTTGTATCATAGAAAGATGTACTCCATTCATGAGAGTCTTCTCCATCTGTTGGTTCTTAATAATTTTTATGCCATGTTGAGAATATCCCTTTAACACATGTCGCTTACCATCTACCACAAGTTCCATCTTCAATTTGTCAAAGTTCCAAACAATGTCTCCTAATGTCACCAACCATTCAATTCCAAGCACCATATCAAAAAAATCCAAAGGAATTAACATCATATTAGCCTGAAATTTATTATGTTGTAGAAACCAACTAAATTCCTTCACAATTGCTTCAATCTTCATTTTATGACCATTCATAGCCTGAATCCTACACTTTAATTTCTTAGCTATATCAACATCTAAGAAATTATGTGTACTACCACTATCAATCAAATGTGTTAGGGTTTCTTTTTGTAGCTTCCTGTAACTCTCATAGTTTTGTAACCTTGCACCCCAGTCAAAGCATTTATAGAAATATGTCGACCCTCAATCAGTCTCTTTCACCATTGTCTCAAATTGTAATGTCTCATTGTCCTCCTCTTTCTCAATCTCCACCATGTGTAGATGAAGTTTCTTATGTGTCAAGCTATGTTCATACGTAAAAGGTTCATCACAGAAATAACAAAGCCCTTTTTCCCTCCTCTCATTCATATATGCAAGTGTTAGATTTCTCCTCAACTTCCCTTTGGACGAATCCACCTTATTCTCTGAAAAAGTGACATGTTTTGTAGCAATTAAAGGTTTGGTAGAGCTCTTAGATATTAGATAGAAATGATTTCATTGAATTTCCTCCTTGGTTGGCAGATTCATATAGCTTTGCCAAGGTAAAAGCATTCATCACCGTAGTTGGTTGAAACATCCGCACTAACATTTGGATATCATGTCTTAACCCTCCCAAGAAACAACTAAGTACATATTCTTCAAATAATTCCAACTAATTAATGATGACATCAAATTCTTCATGATAAGCAATAATAGTAGAACATGGTTTCAAATTCATCAATTCCACCATAGGATCCTCACGCAAATTCCCAAATCTAATTCTTAAGAGCTTCACGTATTCAATCCAATTTGGCCAATTATCATTTTTTCGGGACTTTGCAAAGGCATGATGCCATTGCATTGCCTTTCCTTCAAAATGCACTACAGCTAACCGCATCTTGAATTCTTCAAGAGTTAGGTCAATTGCAAAATACATTTTATATTGATAAATCCATTGATTTACATCTTCACCATTGAATTTAGGAAACTTTTTTGTGAATTGAAGAATCAAAATTCAATGGGAAAAACATGAAGCAGGTAATAGACAATGATCTACCTCATCTACGGAATGGATCAGTGGCAAACCTTCGTCTTCCTTCTATGTCAAGCAATTTTCTTCTCTATTCTCTCACTACTTCAACCACATCTCTTGCATTATCAACAATCAATGTAAAAACGCTACATCATAAAAAATAAAAATAATAAATACAATGATTAAAAAAAAAAAAAGAAAATAAGAAACAAAAACTAATGGACCTTATCTCTTGTTCCACCTTCTATTTTGATCTAATGGCCCACTGTTCTCTTTGGTTCTTACAAATCTTTGATGGCTTACTATTCTCTTTAGTTCTTAACTCTTTTTTTTTTTAACATATTTAAGGAACGTCAACAACTTTTTACTCTACTAATAAAACTTCTTGAGAACTTAACACAAGTATCACATATTATCTTACATTTTTATACTTTTTATTTATACATAAGTCTCATTCTATTTATTCACATCCAGGTAGTTCTCATTTTCAAACTTTCCATCATGCGCCTCTTCATTACCTGAAATTGTCATTTTAAATTAATAAAATAGGTAACACAAAAAAACACATGCAGAACATTTCCACTGTTCTGAAAGAAATTGACTTAAATGTCTCTGAACTAAACTTAAATGTCTCTGAACTAAAGTTGCATTTATATCTTCTAGACAGTCATGACCCCGCCCCGATACCGCTGAGGGTAAAATTTGGATACCCATCCCCGCTCCTAGCGGGGTTCGGGTTTTCCTGCTCTATCCTCGTTCCCTGTTTTTATTTTTTCTTTTAAATAAATGAATAATTTTTTAAAAAAAATTAAAGAAAAGTAAAATAATATAAATTTTTACATATAAATATTTCTAATTTTGGTTTATATATATATATATATAAATAATTTTTTTAATTATATTATTAAGTGGGACAGGGCAGGGGTGAGTACGGGAGC